TCCCAACAAATGTTACATGAAAAAGAAAAAAGCTTTTAATTCTAGTGATTTCTAATGGTGGTATAGAACCAATACATCCTTGTCTTGTGGATTTCCTAAAATGAAATTCTAAAATTATTTTTAAAACATTTTGTAGTCTCTTGATCCATAACTTGGAACGAGGAAGTAACACTCTGCTATAAAAACCTGGCATTTGTTTAAATCACTTTCTCTACATTATTCATAACCAAAACCTGAGGAAGCATTATCCTAAACCAAAGGTCTTCAAAGTTGTTGCCAGAAACACGAGAGAAATTTTACACTACTGTTGGTTTATATCACATATACACACATCACACACATACACATATGTATAATAAAATGCTTTTCATGAAATTCCTGTCCAACACAATGCATACTGATATTTTATGTGTTGGCTTATTCTTCTTGTCATTTTTGAAAATACTTTTTCCCAACTCAGTAAATTTAACACATGACCCACCAAGAGTCAAAATCCACAATTTGAAAAACATTGATAAAGACAGTGTAAGCTTTTCAGATGACTATTTTCTTCAAATGTTTTTTCACAGAATGTGTAAATTTATGAGAAAAGTCAATTTATAGAATAATTCAAAGCCATTTTATGCTGATTTTTATGAAGAGTACTTATCTGGTAAAAGTAAATAATTTTTATCTTCTAAATCTTAGAGACTTTGTCTTCTGCAAACAATAAAACATCAAAATTCAGATTCCACCTGTATTTCTAGAGGCAGCTGCTTGAAATCTTTGCTTGAAGTTTGTGCCTGCTGATAGTACTTTCTTTACATTTTGCACCATGCTTTTCTGAAAAATATCTTATAGTGTAGAATGGTCTCAGCTCTATTGGAGGGCTATTTCCTAATCAAATTCTCCTGATTGATAAGTGACTTTCACTTCTCTGTTAGTTTTTAAGCAGCAGATTGATCAGTAGGTAATTTCTGTCTTCCCAGGCCTTGTACCTGGGTACCATGGCTTTCTCCTATATTCAAGCCATCCATCAATTGCTGAAGAGCTTTTAGTGTTGTCAATCATTCAGTGTAGAGCCAAGGCCTTGCCTGTAACTGCTGGTCCCCCGATTGACATCCTGTGTATTCTTTCTTGCCTAAACCACATCAATAATATATCAGCTCTAATCATTAGTTTCAGGTTCCTTAAAGTAGAACGAGAATTTAAAGATACTTGGAAAACTATGATTACAGAACCCTTCTAGATTATTATAATCTTCCTCCAAATCTTACATTTATCTTTTCAACTATAGTTCCCTTTTAGCAATATTTCTTTAAATACAAATATCCAACAAAGTTTTCATAGTATTATCACTCTGACATTACATCTATGATTTTCTGGTTTAACATTAAACTACATTATGGAATTACAATAAGTGAAAACTAAATACACAGAATTGGAAAAAAACACAACTGACACTTGATAAACATTCACCTCATAAATTCCCATGAGACTACAGCAAGGTGACTGACTGTGGAGAAGTGGAGAGCATTAAGTTTATGGATAATGTTCAAAGAGAAGTAGTCAAAGTCTAGCCTGCAGTCTCTAGAAAGCCTAGCCTGAGCTAAGAATTAAACCACTGTCACTATTTAGGAGGTGAAAGTCCAGGGTGCCGAAGGTAAGGACAGCAGGCAAAATGAGGCATGGAAAGATCTAAGCAGCACAATGCAATGTGATATCTACCACTCCACAATGAACAACAAAACCATGCACCTTGCAACTCAAGACAGATGTTTACTTATTGCACAAGATTCCTCTGGAACATTTGCAAAGAGAAACTGCACCTCAGTGCAATTCAAAAAGCTACAAAAGGAGCTGGACTTTATGAACCTACTTCCCCTCTCATCTTTTGATTCCTATTGGTGAAGAATCATTTCATAGCAAGTAGATTATCTGACACTTTAGGTTGTGTCTTCCAGCCTCTAAGTAGCTATTCAGGGATCCTGATGCCATATCCCATAGTAGAGTTTTAGGTTCCTGCCTTAAAAGTCTGCAGGCAGAGGAGCTTGGTATGTCAGGATGAGGGCATTACAGCCTCAGAGCTCCAATGTGGACACTGAGCAGGTCAGGCAGTTCCTAAGGGGGCTAGAAAAGGAAGCAGTAGTATTATCTATTGCGCAACAGTAGTGGAGAGAATCTGAGAAGGTTCACAATGTTAATGCCCAACACAAAGAGATTAAAAGAGAAAGCTTTGGTTTTTCAAGGACAGAGACGTAGAATAAAGACATTCCAGGACAAAGGAATGGTACGTTTCAAAAACCTCTGTGACTGAGCAGTATTCCATTATGTATCACATTTTCTTTACCCATTCATCAGTGGATAGACACTGGGTTGTTTCCGTGTCTTAGCTACTGTAAACAGAGCTGCAATAAACATGAGAGAGCAGACTATTTCATTTCCCTTGGTTATATACACAGTAGTGGGATTGCCAGATCATATTGTAGTTCTAGAATTAGTGTCTTTCCATAATTGCTATACTAATCTTGTCATTTCAACCATGTGGATTGACCTGGAGGCCACTGTGTTAAGTGAAATAAGCCAAGTACAGAAAGACAGGTACCTCATCATCTCAATCATTACAGAATCCAAAAAAGCTGACCTCATAGAATTCTAGAGTATAACAGTGGTTCCTAGAGAAGGAGTAGGATAGGAAGAGGTTATCAATGGGCACTAAGTTACATTTAGACAGGAGTAAGACTTTCTGGGCTTCTATCACTCAATATTGTAACTACAAATAATGATGATATATTGTATATGTTTCTTTAAAATCTAGAAGAAAGGATTTTCATTATGTTCCCCATAAAATGATAAATGTTTGAGGAGATAGCTATCTTTACTCTGTTTTGGGTATTACATAATGTATACATGCATTGAAATATCACATAGTACCTATAAATATGTACAACATTTATGTATCAGTTAAAAATACAAAATTTTTAAAGGACCAATGGAAAATATTTGCACTCCCATGTTCATTGCAGCATTATTCACAATAGCCAAGATATGGAAACAGCCCCAATGCCAACCAGCAGTGAACAGATAAAGGTGACATAAACATACAAGGGAATACTATTCAGTCTTAAAAAAGAACAAAATACTACTATTTGTGATATCACGGATGAACCTGAAGGATTACATGATTATAATTATATGAGGTATCTATTTATCCAAACCCATAGAAACACAGAACAGAATAGTGGTGGTTTTAGGAGGAAGACAAAATGCGAAATTTTTGTTCAGTGGATGTAAATCATTCAGTTATGCAAGGTGAATAAGTTCCAGAGGTCTGTTGTACAGTATAGTACCTGTCTCAGCCTTTTTCTATTGCTAATAACACAACCACAGCTTAAGAATGTTGTAAATAAAAGAGGTGATTTGGACTCACAGGGCTGGTTGAAGGCAGAAGGGCTACATCTGGTGGTGATGTCCTTTTTGCTGGAGTCCTGAGATGGTGCGGGCATCTCATGGTTGGAGAGAGGAAGCTTGAGCATGGATGCTATGCTCTGTCTCCTTTCTCTCATAAAGCCACCCATATCTAACCTTATGGGACCCACCCTTGTGACTTTATCTACTCACCATTACTTCCTAGGGGTCCCTTCTCTAAACATCATGGCCACAATGGGGATTAAATTTCAAAGTGAGTTCTTAGAACTGATAAACTATAGCCAGACCCTATAGTAAACAATATGATATTTTACACTTTAACATACAAGAGGTTAGAGCTCATGCTAAGTGCTCTGATCACAAAAATCATAACAAAAAAAAAACACCAAAAAATGTTTGGAGGTGATAGATACTTTTAATAACTTGATTGTGGTGATGATATTTATACATATGTCAAAACTCATTAAAATTCTTGCATTATATATTGAATTGTTTTGTCTATCGGTTATGCCTAGTAAAGCTTTTAAGAGGACCTCAATGGGAGAAAGTAGTGTGGCTTTTTCAGAAGAGTGAAAATGGTAACACATGGCTGGCAGATACCAGGGTATGACAGGGGAGAAAGCTTATCACATTGGACAACAGCAGCCTGACCACACAATTGAATGACAAAAACTTACAGTCGACCAAACCCTCCTTGCTATCTTTTTCACACATCCAGAACAGATTAGCACTCAGACATCCTGATTCTTGATTCTCATCCACTCCTCTACATGCCTGCTACAGCCGATCCTCTCGTGAGAGTGGGGCTTAAGGAAAGGATGGGATACAAACAAGGCTTAGAGGAAATAAAACTGCTCATTTCTCCCAAGGAAGGCAGCCTACATATTTCACAGGATTAATGTTGACAGAATTCACAGAGTTTAGGGAAAAGTAAGAGCCAGCACACATATGATTTCTTCCAGCCATTTCAACCCTTGCAATTTCTCTGCCATTGGTAACCTACCATGGAAAATTCATTTCATGCCTGTCTACTCTGGTAAAACCTTGGAATGAATTGAATTGTTACAAAAAGGTGAAAATTAAGAATGCCAAGAGTCATTTGATGCAGCTAATTAAGAATCGTCATCTCTGAAGCTTTGCACATGTTCCTGACTTTCTTTACCTGTAAAGTTGGCTTCTGAAGTTGTATGTGATAGAAGGATGGTGAGAAACCCTTTGCCTGTTGCCAAGGAGAAGGTCTCATCTCAACACTGAAGCACTGGAGAAATAGATTCACTTTCAAGTGATTGTTTTAACATTGGGATTACTTTGATCAAACTAAAACCCTCTGAGCTAAAATTTAGTTTAATTATGTGCTGCATGTGGGGAGTTAGGAAATTAAAAAAAAAAAGGAACTGCCCCTCCAGCAAATTCTACGGCATTTAGATCCAAATCTAAACCCCTTTCCTGGGTGGGTAAGGTCTTAGCTCTCTGGTCTCACTTCCACTTAGGTCTCCATCACTCCCCTTCTCTCTTTTCCTCAAACACCAGGACCCCTACATTTACTGTCCCCACTGCATGGAATGTTCCCTTCCCACCAGCTCTTTACTTACCTTGGATCCTCAACAAGACCAGGTCCTTTCCAGATTTCTACTTCGTTGTCTTCAATAGTTGATCAATAGTGGTCAAAAGGTGACTGCAACTGTTACAGACTTCACCAGAGGACACTGTGGTGACCAGTGAAGAAGACAGGCTTTTCTTTCCATGCAGCTCTTTCCTCCTATTAGCAAGAAAAACGTTCACTAGAGAAACCACAACAGCCAACTCCCTCATTTCATTGGCTAGTAACTAATGTGCCTAAATTAAAGGCTGAAAAGGAGGAGATCACCAGGTTCGATGTTGCTGAGGGATTAATGGGAGAGTCACATTCCCTGAGCTGACCAGAGGGTCAGCACTCAAAGAAAATTGAAGCTGTGACAGCCAGCACAAGAAGAAAAGTTCAAGCCTGGGAAAAGAATGGCTATTGAAAGCAGACATGACAACCATAGCATCTAAGTCCATACTGCCCCATCCCTCACTCTCTACCCCAATGACTTTTATCATCTCTGCATGAAACTGAGTGTAGCCTATTTCCCTATATCATTTATTTGTTGATAACCTGATGCCCTCATGCAAATGGAAGGTGCATGAGGGCTGGATTCCCTAGCACCAGAAGAGTTTCTGGCACATACTAGGTACACAGTAAATGCTATTGAATGAATGCATACAGAAATGTGCCCATATGCATGTTCATTATGCCAACGCACCTTCTATGGTAATCTGCTATTGGACTTGACAAGCAGAAAAATCCACCAAGACTAAACCATCTCGTCAACATCTATGGGCTTGGAAGATGGCTACTGAGCCCATGAACAGGTCTCTTATGATTTCAGCAAACTGTTAACAGTTCAAAACAAAGTGCAACAATTTTCTTCCAAATTTGTCACTTTTTCCTGTGTTTTCTGACTCCATGATGAAATCACTACCCACATATCTGCCCAAGACAGAACCTCAGTCATCTCTACTCCTCCTGTCAAATCCTGAGGAACACAAAAATCCATCCCTCCTCTGAATTTCTCTGTTCCACTTTAGTTAGGTTGTGTTAAATAAACTCTAATATCCTTGTCAACTTCAATTTTCTATACCACTTTGATTCATATTTCCTTATTTTCTAGGGTCCCACATTAAAACACGGCTATCAGAAAAGGATTGACTTCATGATTATTTTGTATTACCATCACATCAAAAACATTTTTCTGATTTTTCCTTCCTCAATGAGATCTTACTTGAGAGAAAAAGGAAAGTAGAAAAAAACAGTTTAAGCTGCTCCTTTAAATGGCCATTTCTTAACAGTGGAAGCAAAGCTAGCCCATAACTCAAGAATTTTAGCTTGGTATCCAGCCAATTGTGCAGAGTCCTATCGTGTAAAAATCCATCAATATATAAAATAAATGAAACAAAGATAGCCCAACATCTTTTATGATTCTGGGATGTTAGCCATGGAGAATTTTTTGCTTTCAAACACATATCATAATTGTTGAGATGACATTAAAGAAAATTTATAGACAACACGTGATTCCTTCCTTTGTCCCTCAATCAGATAAGTCTGTCTCTTCTTTGAATTTCAAGAGCACTTTATATAGTGCATTTATTCTCAGCCTTTCTAACATTTGCTAAGTTATTTCTGACCTTATTATATCTCCCCTACTCACCTGTGAACTCAAAACCTAAATGTATTAGGGAGTCTTAACAGCGTCATATACACCAAACCATTATTCTCTTTTCCAATCACTTCTTTCAACAAGAATTTGTCAAATGCCTCTCTTCCAACCCTTGATGACACTTAGGTAGAATAAATAAGCTTATGGTTACTTTTAGGTGTTAGAAGTCCTTTCTATTTTAAAATCCCAACTTCATCTCTGATACAAAGTTAGTCCTCTCTGTCTCATGGGTTATACATGTGGTTTGAGATCATTTAAGTAAAAAAAATTTGGTCTAAGTTTCCAGGTCCTTCTCGTCCTCCTATCCCAAGATAGGTTGTGGGGCCGGCACTGTGGCATAGTGGGTAAAGCCACTGCCTGTAGTGCCAGCATCCCATATGGGCACCAGTTTGAGTCCCAGCTGCTACATTTCTGATCCAGCTCTCTGCTATGGCCTGGGAAAACAGAAGTCGGCCCAAGTCCTTGGGCCCCTGCACCTGTGTGGGAGACCCAAAAGAAGCTCCTCGCTCCCAGCTTTGGATCAGCACAGCTCTAGCTGCTGTGGCCAACTGGGGAATGAACCAGCGGATTGAAGACTTCTCTTTTTCTCTCTGTCTCTCCTCTTTGTGTATAACTCTGACTTTTAAATAAATAAATAAATAGAAATAGTATGCAATAAACAAATAGATAGGCTGTTAGTTTTTCAATAGTCAGGGATAGAGAAGAGGTACAGGGGAATAGGAAATGGGCAAAGGTCTCTTACTCAACCAGATATGGCTGAATTCTCTCTATTTGCTGCTTTGGAACACTGTTGCCCTTTCTAAAATCCTCCCATCTAAATGTAGACTTTCCAGAGTGGCTTCTTCCGGGGTGTTGTTGGCTTGGCTTGGTTTTCTCCTCCGTTACTCATGTTGAAATGTCATTGCTAATAAAATAGCAACCAGAGGCAAGGCCTGTAAGAGGTAAGTAGGTCATGAGACACCACCCTTGTGAATCAATTAACTCTGCTTCCATGGGAGTGGGTTAGTTTTTCAGAGAATGGGCTCAATAAGTTGGCCCCCATCCTTCTGTTTGTCTTGCATGTGCGCTCACTTGCCCTTCTGCTATGTTATGACACAGCAAGAAGATTCTCACCAGATGCCAACATCATGCCTTTGGTCTTCCTAGCCTCTGGAACCATGAGCCAAACCAATTTCTGCTCTTGGCAATGTACCCAGTCTGTGGTATTTTGTTACAGCTGCAGAAGACAAAGACAGGTCCCTTCCCTGGAAGCTTTCACCAATCTCTTAAGCCTCCCACTAGTCCTATGGGCATTGCAGTTCTCCCACTCAAACCAAGACAGCCTGACTGAGCCCCATTGTGGGTGGCATCCCCTTCTCTTAGCCTCCAAGGAAACCAAATGATGACAGTGCTGAGTGCAGCTTTTCTTAAGCTTTGCTGTTTCACTGCCATTCTCCTGTCTATTCAAGAGGCAGCTGCATGACCTAAGTGTGCATGCAACTAAGAACTAAGATGACGATCACCACTTCCTGTGGCTGGCCCCATCTTACAAGGTCCTTTGCAGTAGTCCCGATCACTTGACTTTGAGGGAAGAAGGGTTGAGGAAATCCCTTCTCACTTGAACACTCTCCATCAAAACAACTCCAGAGACTCTCTCCTTTCTTCCTCCCTGGTCCTCTACTTCATAAACGTAAGGAGACAAAGAGTGACTATGGTGAGGGTCTATCTTGTCGTCATAGGAGAATGTTAAAAGCCCTGTTCAGATGGGAAGAAATGAATGTTTCTCTGTCCCCTACTCTGAACTCCACTGGCCTATTCTGTAGTCACAGCAAAAACAAAACAAATCAAAAAAAATCTGCAAGCTTTATATCTTAGAACAATTTACAATCATCAGCTTAGTGGCTGTGGGTCAGGAACCCAGGCACGGCTTAACATGGTTCCCTACACAGGGTCTCAAAGACTGTGATCCAGTTGTCAGCTGAGCTGCATCCTTATCTCGAGGTGTCACTAGGAAGAACCCACCTTCAAGTCCACTTGGCTTGCTGGCAGAAGTCATGACCTAACATGTGTATGACTGGGATTTCTGTTTTCTTGCTTACAGACAGCTAAAGACCACTCTCAGTTCACTGCAACATGCAGCCTTCAAATTCTTTCCCATATATTGGTCAATGACTTCTTCAAAACCAGAAGGAGTGTCTCTCACTCCTATCTGCTAAGACAGTGTCTTAGGAGTGACTTTCACATCTCTTCTTCCATATTCTTTTGGCTAGAAGCAAGTCATAGGTTTCATTCACACTCAAGGGGAAGAATCTACAAGAGTGTGACTCATTGAAGGCCACCTTAGGATGTGTCCACCACACAAAGTCTCCTTTGTCTCTCCCTACCATCCTTCTTTCTTTACTTCCTCTCTTCCAAATGTAGATGGCCTAATGTATATAAATTATACTCTGATAAGTGAGACAAAATTAGGGCAAGCCCCTTGTCTTATCCATGTGGGCTGCTAAAATAGAACATCAGGAACTGGGTGGTTTTAATAAGATGTTTATTTTTTTTTCTTTTTCAAAAGATTTTTTTATTTATGTGAAAGGCTGAGTTAAAAGAAGAGACAGAGAAAAAGATCTTCCTTTCATTGGCTCACTACCCAAATGATCACAATGGCCAGAGTTGGGCCTGGCCAAAGCCAGGAGCCTAGAACTCCATCCAGGTCTCCCACAAGGGTGCAAGGGCCCAAGCCCCAAGCATTTGGGTCAACTTCCTCTGCTTTCCCAGGCACATTAGCAAGGAGCAGGATTAGAAGCAGAGCAACCAGGACTTAACCAGTGTTCATATGGTATGCCAGCATGGCAGGCAATAGCTTAACATACAGCACCACATGCCAGCCCTAGATGTTTATTTTTCACAATTCTGGAGCCTGGAAATCTGAGGTTATAGCAGTAGCATGGCTGGGTTCTGGTAAAGGCTCTCTCCCTGGTTTTCAGAGGAGCATCTACTCAGGTATCCTCAAATGAGGACAGAGACAAAGATCTGGCACTGAAATTTCTGTCTCTAAGGGTACTAACCTTATTCACAGGGCTCCACTCTAAAGACCTCATCACTCTCAGAGTCCGCTTCTACCACTGTCACACTGGAGCAGAGGATTTCAACGTAGGAATTTGGGTGGGGAAAGGCAATATAAACCTTTAGTCCACAGCATGCCTGTTCTCAAAAAGTTCCTGCACTAGTAGAAGAGTCAGTCCTATAAACAGCTACCTTGTTGCTTGCAATAAATGCTGGCCTTTAGTTATATCCAAACCCAAGTCAGAGGCAGGAGCCTAAATTTACATGATAAAGGCAGGGGAAGGTCATAGAGGAGGTACCATTTTATAGGTTTTTGAAAGAGCAGGAGAAGGCCCTACATTCCTCATAGCATCTTACCTGTAGCAAACATTCAGTAAATATATATGGGATAAAAAACTAAAGGGCATGAACAAAGAACTAATTTTCTGAATGAACAGAGTAAAGACTTGAGGAAACACCTGACATCACAGCAATTGTAATATGA